AAGCCCAGCAGCTTCCACAGGCTCCTTGATTCTTAATCGGGGTTAATACACCCTTAGATCTCCAATCCACCGAGGTTGGGAGCGATGTGGTATCAGCTGACACAAAGAGACTCAATCTGGCATGAGAAATACAACTGGTCCTACCTTCAACATCAAACTTAACATCCCTCCTCGCATCCATCTTTAAAATACCGACCTTCTGGGCGACGAACTCCTCGTGTGTGAGGTCCGCATACTCGTTGACACCCAGCGTGTAAGACAGATCTGCATAGCTAGCCACTCGGCTCATGGCGAATATGATGTTACTCACTCTGAGCGTTGACTTGCTCGATGTGATGGAGATTGGCTTGGAAGATGGCATTCCTTTTCATTTCTTCCTCCTTAGACTCGTATTTTTTACCGAACCTGCACGCAAGACATCAGAATGAAACACCACTTGACGACCACTTCACTTATGCTGGAAATCGGTAAAAGCCAAGTCCGCAGTTCCCTCGTTCAAGCACTCGAACGCAGGTAGGATTGAAAGGAGAACGAATGAGACGATAGTGCGCATTTGAGAAGCAAAGCCCACTGATAAGTTGGGGTTGTTTGTAGACTTTCTAAGGGGAGGACCGGTACTGCTACCCGCTACGGTGGCGGCGATTCCCAATTTTCTTGCGATCCCAAGAAATTGGGTATGGAAACGGTGTTCATTCTTAGAGGGAAGTCGTAGTAGACTTGGCAGTGCCAAGTTGGCACTCAGGAAGTTCCAAAGCGATGAAAGCCTTAAAACTTCACGTGAACACTACGCTACGTTCACGCACAAACTCGATGAGCGGAGCGAAGTGAGTCTTCTTCCATGTTATGGAACATGAGCACTCGGAGGCCAGCCATCACCCCAGCCACAACGTGAGGTTATCTCTACGGATTCAGAATTGACATTTCACTATGCGGTATTAGGCGAATCCAAAAAGTCTTGCATCTCAAGTCCTAGCACCTGGTAAAAAGGCCCAGCTAAGAACAAGAAGTCCCCTTGAAGAGGGGTGACCTGTATCAAGTGTGA